ATTCCATTTTCATCTGGCTGAGCTTTGATTCCCATTTTCCAAATGTCCATTGCAAACTTGGCATTTGTGCTTTGATCTGTCTATTGTGGCATTGCAATCATTGGAACTCCCAAACTTAAGGCTTCCAATGTTGAATTCCACCCGCAATGAGTTATAAAGCACCCTATAGATTTGTCGGCTAAAACTTCAAGCTGAGGACACCATGAGATTATTAACCCTTTGTCAAATGTTTCATCTACAAAATCTTTAGCTTCTTTGATTCTGATTCTCTAACCACCCACATAAAATGATAGTTGCTAGTTCTCAAGCCCCATGATAATTCATGCATCTGCTCAACATCAAGATCTTCCAAACTTCCAAATGCTACATAGACGACTGAACTAATTGACCTTTCATTTAGCCATGAAATGCAAGCATTAATCATTGGTTTAAAAAGATTGAGACCATATTGCTTGTCATCTTCAAGGCGCTTTTCTAAGTACATGGATGGAATAGTTGGTCCAATTGTCTTTACCAGTAGGATTTTTGCCATCCAACCATTCACCTAATTAAGCAATACAAAACAAATAAAATTCACAGTATTACAAACAAATTCTTTTTAGATTTTATTTGAGAAGGAGCTATCTTGGCATGTCATTAAGGACTTAGATTTGCCACGAGCCAGCCCATAATTTATGCAAGCAAAACTGAGATATATTCAAGTCCGCTTACCTCCTCCTCCAACCTGTAAAATGTGTTGAAGAAGATCCAGTCAGCTTCTTCAAATTTTTCCAATTGGTCATGTAAAACCAGCTTAGAACTTGCTGGATATTGACCCGGATTAGACATGATAGGTTGCAATTTTATCATTTATTTTATTATTAATTCCTCCTATTACCTGACTTGATGTGGATTAATTGCGGGATTCTACTCACTTTTAGTACTTTGCATTTATTTCAGGGAGTAGAACGAAAATATGCTAACAAGTGCCAATTTAATAAGAAAAGAGTCCAAATAACAGAGCTTAGTCCAGGGGCATTTTTAGAAAAGAAGATGTTACGCCCATTTTGGTAAATTCTGCGAAGGAAGGACGGCTGAAGGGTTTTTCTTCTTGCTGGTAGGAGCCGCCGCACATCTGAGGGAAGCAGGGGATAAAAACCAAAAATATTGCAGAGGACAGGGGCTATCTTGCTTCCTTAGTTTTTCGTCTTTTAGCTTAGCCTTACTTTTTCACTTTTTCTTCTTAACTGGTGGTAGTTATTCTCCACGGAGGTGAGGAGAAACAATAGAGTAGCTTGGACTTTTCCTTTCGTCTTTTGTGGCTGCCCCTGCACATGCCAGGAGCTTTTCACCAATTAGGCGAATTGAGTTTTTCCTAGTTTTGAAGTACAATGGCCGCAGTTATTCCTTCCATTTTGCGTGGATTTTGTTCATCAATTATGAACTAATTTTCTCACTCTAATCAAAGGACAACGAATGCTTTGAGTCGCCTAAAATTGTGAGATCGATTTAATTTTATTTTTTTCTTTTATTTATTGATATTCGCATATTCCCTGGTTACAGTGCTTATGATTGTTTAATTAATTGATTGTCTTGGATCCGGATAATTAGTTAATTTGATAATCTATTGTCAATTGGAACGTTAAATCCGTAATTGTTTAATTGTCTCAAAATAGTGATAACTTGCATGATTAGATTTGTGTCAGGGGGATACGCGGGCTAATCTAAAATAACCCTGGTAGTGCGTTATTTGGTTAGAATAGGGCTCCTCTAATACGTAAAGAAATTGGAGAATTAAATCTTACGGGCGTACCTAAGATTATTTCTCAATTAGAGTAGTGATTAACGGGTGTACCTTAATCACCGACACAGTAAGGAGGGGTTGACTGTCATCGCTTGTTTGGCAGTTATAACTTATTTATTGGTAAATAATTGGAATTGCCTTTGCTTATCGATGATCAATTAGGTGAGCCATTGCTGAAATTATTCCTTGGCTAGATCCTTAATTATCACTCATTTGATTTTAGTAAATTGCTATTTAATTTCTAGTTGGCTATTTTATTTTTATTATTTTACTTTTAGTTGAATTGCTTAAATTGTCACCCCTGATATAAAAATACCCCCTTGTCACTGTGAATTTGGAAAGAAGCAATTACACCCAGTCCCTGTGGATTCGACCCTGCTTACCACTATCTACAGAAATTATTTTTAGTTTGAGCAGGTTTTTATTATTGCACAGGCTGACAACCTGTCAAGACACAAAAGAGGGCAGATCTGAAGCTAGAAGTGGTGGCAAACCAGGAATGTCCACTTCACTCTCCTCTAGAGGAAGTTTCAAAAGCCCTTTGTGGACATGGTAGTAGATGCTATTGACAGCACAAGATTGAGTGAAGAGCACACCCGCACGTACGCCAAGATCCTTGGCTACATCTAGACACCAAGGCAAGAGTGAATCATAAATGATACAATCGACAGGACAGCCCAAATCCTGAAGCTTCAAGATTAGCTCAGTCAAAGTTTCTGAGCCAACCTTTTGAAATTTAGGAAAGTGTATTTCCGGTACAATTCCATTTGCTCCCTCATCATATCCATCAGATATGGTTTCCACTGAGATAGAACCTGAGACTTCATTGAGTGTTTTAAACAAGAAATTGGTTGTAACGATGGTGATTTTGGTGCCCTCCTGTTGCAAACGCTTAGCAAATTGGAGCATTGGGTTTATGTGACTTTGGATGGGGAATGGCAATATCAAGCAATGAGCTCTGTAAGTTTCCATTAATTGCTATGACCAAGAGACTCTTGAGTATGGACTGCTTTGTGAGCTCGCGGGGTTGTACTTGTACCTTGTATGAGTGGATCAAGAAAATGTAAAGAAAACAAAAAAAACACAACTGGTAAGTGGTATTGTCCATCGTTATGGGGCCAACGGAGTGTTGGTTAAGTTTGTTCACCAAAAACAAAATTCTAGATTATTTGGAAAATTTTATAGAACAACACTGTCCAATGCATTTTGTAATGCTGTTGCATGTGAGATGTAATCTTTCATGTGAGATGTAAAGGTGATTAAAAAAAGTAAAATTATTGGAGCAAAATTAAACTTTTCATTTACTGATCAACTATGAAAGCTTCACAAAGGAGGGAGAATCCTTGTATCTACATTCACTACGTTATTCTATACATTTTACTTGTCAAAAAAAGATTAGTGAGAAAAACAAAGCGAGTAGTACTTATCAAAGAAAACGGCTATGCTCTATACCCAATTCTATTGCCAGTTCCCAGTTCCCTTTAGTGCGTAGAATCTTACTCCAAGAAGCATCAACTAGCTGCATGGTGTTAATCACCGCAGCAACCACACCCAGAGTAGATGATCTCAAATGCTGGAAAAGACACTTGTTTCTTGCCTGCCAAATAAAGTAGACTGCCATAGCAATTAGCAAAAGCGAGCCTTTTAACTCTGGTCAAAGCAGTTTGTGCTGCAATGACTACATCGCCACTGAACGGATTAGAGGCAGGAGCGGTCATCAGACCGACCGCTCCTGAACAGTCTCCTCACAAGCACAAACGTGAGGCGAGAAATGATCCACGTCAGGGAAGAGGGGAAGCCTTAAGTAGAGGTAAAAAATGCTGGCGTAAAAAAAAAATTTGTAGCCCAAATAGTATCAGACGGAGCAAACGAAAGAGTTGAAATTTTTGAAAGTTGAAACTGAGGGAAGAGAACTTGAATTAACCACACAAAACAAAACTGAGGGAAGAGAGTAGGCTTCCTGCTGAAGGTAGCAATTGACAGAAAATTGGGTGAAGAGAGCTGGGGTATGGTGTTGCGTTAATAAGGAAGGAAGCAAACAGTGCAGTGAGAGTGTTGTATGCATTTTGAAGCTGTGTATGAGAGTGTTGTATCCATTTTGAATGTGTGCAAGGCAGGCAGCAAGGTAGAAGCAAACAAAGGAAATTCATCATCTCACGAACTTGGTTCAGTCGTGCAACTTAATAGCAGAAGAAATTGCGCTCTCCGAGTTCGGTGAAACATAAAGCATATTAACAGATCAAGGTAACGTGACTGAACCATATCAGCAACTGTGGCCAATCATTTGTCACCCAATGTACATCGGTTAAATGAAGGATGAAATTAGAGTCACTAAAAACATAATATTGGTTGTGAAGAATAGTGAAGTTGTACCGTATGTGTGTGTGTGAGCATTCAGCTTTTTAGTGATGGACTATAATGGGATAGTAGTTATCCGAAAACCCAGGGGTATGTAAGTAAAGTGTCGAGTGGAATTAGGGAAAGATGAGAGTAACAAAGTCACATTTAACAAGTGAATGAATGTACATCCTGTTGTAAATAAGTTACAGGTTATAGCCACCGCATTACAATTGGTATGAATCATTATGCATCTAGTAGTTGGTCTATGCTCATCACGCAATCTTAGTTTGCCCCTCTCCGGACCATGCAGTGTGTATAAAATGGAGGTATAGAGTTGAATGAGGTGAAGTAGAGGAAAAAAGGCAAATAGATGTGAATAATAAATGGGTGTACCTGGTATTGTAAATAAATTACATGATATAAGAAATATATTACAATGAGTAGAAAATGCTTGTTTGGCCCTCAAAATGTAGAAATAGTAGAAAATGCAGAGTTGGTTTAGGCGGTTGTCATTAACGAATGACATAAGGTCCAGTGAGGTAATGAACCTAGAACGTAAATATAATCACTAGAGTGGATGTACCTACAGTTAAAATAGACTTACATAGTGTGACCAACACATTACAGTCCATATTACTTAGTGTACATGGAGTTGTATTTGTACATAAATAATGTCGTTGTCTTAGAGTAAAAGTAAAGTGATGTGAATCATTAATCATATTGATAAACATAATAATAGGATTTGGTATACGAGTAATGTGTGATTCATAACACATTATGAGTGGTAATATATATTTATGTTGTCATTTATGTACATACTATTCATGAAATGTTGCAAATTAGGGTGTTTGATGCATAATTGGTAAGAGCAAAAGTAATGGATTGCAACAAATTAGCAGAAGATGAGATCACTGAGTTAGGAATGGAGTTCAATAGTGAAAAGGATGCGTACAAGTTTTACAACAAATATGCCTTTCAAATGGATTTTAGTGTACGCAAAGACTATCTAAATAAATACAAAGACAACGTGACCACGTCTAGGAGATATAGATGTTGCAAGGAAGGTGTGAAGCGCAAGTACGAAGGTGATGTGATGCCAAAGAGGACACGAGCGCTGACGAAAATAGGGTGTGGAGATAAAATGGTTATCGTGTTGCTTAGAAGGACAATGAAGTACCGTGTGCATGACCTTGTCTTAAAGCATAACCGTGAGTTGGACATTGCTCAATGTTCGCACATGATGCTATCACAAAGAAAAGCGAGTGAGACTCAAGGATTCCAAACTAAAATAAGCGAGAATACTGGGCTTTCATTGAAATGAGCTTATGGGAAAAGAGGCAGGTGGAATGGGTAATGCGGGATATACTCGGAATGATTTTAAATAATATCTTCAAACGAGATGGGAAAAGAGCTTGAAATATGGAGAAGCAGGTAGCATGCTGAATTATTTTCAAAAGCAAATACTCAAGAATTTATCCTTTTTTCATGCCGTACAGCTAGACTGTGAAGAGCAGATAACAAATATCTTTTGGACTGATGCAGGAATGTTAATTGACTACAACTTTTTTGGAGACGTAGTCACATCCGACGCAACCTACAAAACAAATAAAGAATATCGACCACTTGGAGTATTTGTGAGTTTTAAAATTTTGAATTGCTTTGAAGTACATTATTAACGACATTATCTGCACATATTTACATTGTTAATTACATTGATTATGTCTATTTAAGCTTTTGAATTGCTCACAAATAAGTACCTATTATTTAAAGTATAATCTTCTGCTTAATTACTTTAATCACACGATAAAACTACATTAATTGGTTAATAACACTTAAACTAATCCATTCATAATCCTATACTTAGTGATATGGCCGATTTATTTAGTAACTAACTAATTTACCTAAGTAGAAACATGCTAATTTAACTACTCGCATGTCCAATTAAAATACTTAGTACTACATTATTTGGCTAATTATTTATATTACTTTTTGATTAATACTACATTATTTGGCTAATTATTTATAATGTTAATCTAACAACACTAATATAATACATACAATCAATACAATAAAGTATTTTAGTATAGCAATAGTTAAACACAAAACGAAAATAAGCATTAAAGCACAAGCGCCTACATAAAGTAATTGATAATTATGAATGATAACTATCAAATATAATCACATAAATAAAGTGTTCACAACCAAATAATTTAAAATTTAATGATGTATTTCACTTGATTATTGTTTGCTGAACTGGCTCGTCGAGACATCAAAGCACGGCGATGGTGTCTACAATGACTGTCTTTTTCGGGGCTTGCAAACATGGCTGCCTGAAACAGTCGCCGGGAAACCAACACTGAAGGTTATGTTAATTACAACAATCGCTGCGGGTTTAGAGAGTGGGGGGAGGAGAAACCTGATAGGCTGATCAAACGAAAACTTGAGTTTAGAGAGAGAAAGGGGAGATGAGAAATGAGTTTGGCAAATGAACAAAGTAACTAGGACGCAATGATCGATTTTTTTTCAAAACAACGATATTCTAAGGAATTGCCCCTTCTCCAGGATGGTCAAATTGTTGAAATTTGGAATATAGATTGAAAATGACAATGTGCCTTCATGCAAAAAATAAGATCAAATTAAGGATAAGTTCATTTATCTTAAAAACTTCAAGAAAATCTCTAAAATGAAGCGAACTAAACACAAAAAAGAAAAGGAAAAACACACTCTCAGACTCAAGTGAGAGAAATAAAGGGATTGCTTTTTTTGCGGCTCACTAATAAATTTTGTCAAACGTCCTTTATGATCAAAGTTAAAAATCTCAAAGACTAATTTTATTTAAAACTTTAGAGACCACGTTGGTATATTACTCGTACTTTGGGACTAAAAGTGCTTTATTCCCTATCTTTCACAAAGAGGCAGTATGTGCGTAAGGAATCACAGAGACATGCATAGCAGAAAATTTAAAAATTTTGATTCCTTTAATAAATCGATCTTTGATTAAATCCACATCATGTAGAATTGTTTAAGAAGATTACTTCAATCCACAGAAATCTTCTTGAATCTGTGGAGATTTGATGCAGATGGTTGTAGACACCAAATTTTTCTTAATTTTAAGTATAGTATTTCATTTTTCACTTAAATTTCTTGAATAATTATTTTAATTTTGTTTTGTAGGTTTGTGCAAAAAGAGAAAAATAAAAAAAAGGATACTCAAAATTGGAAATTTTTAGTAGAAGTTTTTTCTTGTGTTTCAAAACTCAAACAAAATCCATGCAAAAATCTACCCAAAATCCATGCAAAAACCCAACCCAAGTCAAGACGCAAAAGCCTGAAAAGTAGGCTTCAAAAAAAAAAAAAGGCCTATTGACCCATTTCTTTCTACCTTAAAAAAAATGCTGCCTTACGCGCGCATGTATCCACAGGTGCATTTCTTCTTCAATTTTCCAGTAACGACGCAGCAGTACAAGAAGGAAATAGCTGGATTTTTTTTTAAACAATTCAGATTCATTTTTGCTTCCTATTTCTTTCCCCCAAGATTAGTTCGTACCTAGATGCCTTACCATAAAAAATTTATCAAGAAAATAGCTGGCAAAATGGATCGAAGGAAACAAATATTGCCACAAAACTTGGTTTCATCTCAACCATAATTCCTAGGGTTTTAGCTCGTTGGTTTCATTTAAAAGGCTGAAAAGTGGGTCTTTAGGGTTGAGGAAAAGGGTTAGGAAAATCGGCAAAAGCAAGAAAAGGCAGAAAAAGAAAAGAAACGGGAAGACAAATTTTTTTTCCAGAAGAAAGCTGTGAATAAGGTTGATGAATCAACCCTGTTCCTCACCTAAATCTGACTTCGATAGTAGTCCTTTAAGAGAGAACGTTGTTTCTACACAACCTAGGATCCTCGGGAAACAACTTTCATTTGAAAATTTTTAGAGAAAACGTCTCCAAGTCCTTCAAATCAAGGTTCAAATTTGCTGCTTCATTAACACTTGAATCTACATGACAGGACCTTGTTTGCTTCATTTCAAGAATTTGGTGCATTTTCTTGAGACTCCTCATGTTTGTTTGACAGGTGCCGAACATGTGTAATAATAATAATAAAACCTAACTACCACGAAAACAGTCAAGTCAATAATTAATTCTAGGTACTGGAGTAGGGACTCTAAGTGTGCAATGAATTACTTGATTCACCATGTTCCCGAAGAGTTTGCTAACTAGTAGACAGTGGCAAGTAGGGTCGTCTTCTCAGGGACTGGGGAGAAATTTGTTTCCTTTCGAGTCAAGACAAATTAGGGGTTTTAGGATTAAATGCTAATGAATGGATAACTAAATAAATCAAATGCGAAAAATAATTAATTGACAAAAATAATTGGAAAACTCTAGCCAAGGGTACACTTCAAAAATGGTTCATGCACTAATCATCGATTCACATATAATTCCAACATTTATTAATAGATTGATTATAGCTGTCATACACGCGATAAACAATCAGTCTCTCCTTACTTTTTCGATAGTCAAGGCACGACCGTTAACTATTTCTCTAACCCAAAAACAATCCTACGTACGACCGTATGATTTAATTTCTAGATTGCACTAAGATTTAGAAAAGTCCAATCCTAACTAACAAACACGCTTCGAGGGTTTGTTTAAGTTAGATCGTATGTTTCCCTGACATAAATTCAATTATGCTAGTTGCTACCGGGACAGAGGTAATCGAATAATTACGGATCCAACTACCCATAATTAGCAAAATAGCCCATGTGAATAATTAAATATTGCGCGCTATTCAATAATACACAATAGCTATATCAATTAAAAGCAGAAAACATATAAATACCAATAAATGAATGAAACAATTAAAATAATTTAGATCTCACAGTAATTACCGAACCAAATCTTCAGTTGTTCCCTTGACTAGAATTAAGGAGTTAGTTCTCCATCAATGGAGAACAAGCCATGCGTAGAGAATTGGAAAAAGTTGTCGAATTTGCTCTTTCAATTTCGGTCAACAGAGAAAGGAAAGAACAAGAAAAATTGTTGCTTTCTATTGTTTTTCCTACAAAATCATACGAGAGAGTTTGATGCTCTTTGTCAATTCGGTCAAAACCAAAGGAAAAAGCAAATCTCACAAGTCAACAATGGTGGCCAATTCATCTGTTTTCTCCCAAAGTAAGAAAAGTCAAAGACAAACCTAAAGAAAGTACGAGTTCCTCCAAAGTGAGAGTTTCTCTCTCTAGATAAGAGCGCGAGTCTCTCAATCTTGAGAGTTTCAAACTTTTTCAAAATCCTTCAAAATTTCCGCAAAACACACATACAATCCCAAGATCTAGACAATCCCCACATTTTAGTGCTGAGAATAAGTTAAGATGAGTGAACTTTTTAGAGTGCAACAGCAAAGTAGTGATTCGTGAGATAATCTTGTCCCCCAGCTAGTGGAAAGCTCACGCCTCAGTGTTAGCTACTTTGTCGGATTTCTGCATGCAGAAGTGATCTTAGTTTGTCTGGTCCGAGGAAACAGACTCCATGGAAGACGTAAGTGCGCTAGCAGGTAACTTCATAGCCATTAATCCCACAGTCCTCATTTGCGGTTTTCATTTCTGTTAAAGGTTCTGGGATCTTGCCCCAGTCAACCTTTTTGTTTTTTTCTCTTTTATTATAAAAAGGAAAAATCTTAAAAAAATAGGGGGACAAAAGTGTTTTTCTCCTTAAATATTTGGAAATTTTTCAAAAACTGGGAGGTAGGTTGTGTGTCTCGCCTGTCTGTTTTGGTCTCTTTTGCTTTTGGCCTTGGTTGACTTGTCCTGATCTCAGTAGTGACAGTAGGAGTTAACCTTAGAATCTGTATAGACCTTATGGCGGAAGAACCGGCAGATGCGATCAGCAAGTTTGCTCTCTCAGAAAGAACTGGAAGGTACGACTTAGGATGCGAAGAGATAGATAGAGGTATACATGAATGCCAGTTAAGTCTAGTGGGAGAATCAGAGGTGAGAAAGTGGTTAACTTTGTAGCAGTAAAGAACTTCGTGAACTCAACTTGGGGTACCCAAGGAATCTGAGGATCATAGAACTGGGCCCAAATTTGTTTCAGTTTTATATTCCAAGCAGGGAGGACAGAGATAGGATTGTAGGAGGAGGACCTTGGGTCATGGACAACCAAATTCTGGTTATGAAACACTGGTTTGAAGGTATAGAGAATGATACAGCTGCCTTTGACCTAGCCCCTATATGGGTGCAAGTCTGGAATCTTCCTGTGCACTGGATAACAAAAGAAACGGGGAGGAAAATTGGTGCAGTGTTTCATGAAGTAAGGGATGTTCTAGTGCCTCAAGTAGGAGGAAAGGAAGGAAGACACTTAAAGCTATTGGTGATGCTAGATACCTCACTACCTCTACTTAGGGGAACAACTGTTAAAGTAAATGGAGTATTGAAATGGTTGAATTTCAGATATGAGCGCTGTCCAAATTTCTGCTACAAATGTGGCGTAGTTGGACATAGAGAAAAGTCATGCAAGGCAATTATACAAATCAGTAAAGGTAAGCAGGAACATCAGTATGGTCCGTGGTTGAGAGCCAATACAGGAAAAGCATCACCCCAAAAGGAACAGCAAAGAAAGTTCAACTCTGAGAAGAACCATTGGGGCTTTAAAGATGGAGAGATGGTACTTTTAAATCCCAAGGCTAAGGAGAGTCTGGAACATAGACATAAGGAATTCTCGTCAGGGAGAAAGGAAGATCTTAGGAAGGGTAATGATGAGAAACAGACAGATAAAGGAAGGGCCAAAGAGGTTGATATTAATGAGGTGCAGAAGACAAGAGATGAGGTGCGCTGCAATGATATGAGAATACGAGGTTCAGCTTCAAACACCAACTATAGCCAAAAGGTAAGTTGTACCAGGGAGGATACAGAACCTCTTCTTGGGGGAAAAAGTAACTGTGCTTTGGAAGTAGGATTTGTGAGTTTATCAGAAGGGAAGGAGAAAAGTGGATCATTCAAGGGTGAAGTGGAAAGAACTGGACTTGAGCAAATAGCACAGGAGATTATGCAAGTAACAGTAGTAGAGGAAGAAACTGTTAGTCCGGAGACAACATTAATGCAAATTGATCCAGAAAGCTCTGATTTGGGGACAAAGGCAGTTCCGAAACATAACAGGAAGATGAAGAAACAATTGAGATCTCCTAAAATCTCTAGACAGCCACTGAGAGAATTGAGCAGGAATAGGAATCTGTCTCCTCAACAAGGCAAAAGGAAACTTAACTTGGTGGATGAGGATATGGTGGAAGTGCAGGTGAATGAGATTGTCCCCAAGAGGAACAAATTGGATCCTAGGAGGGGAATCTGAGTGAAAATTCTAAGGGGGAAGGGGCCAACCTTAACTGGCCCGTCAAGTTACAACGAAGGTCTTGGTGTGGAACTGCCAAGGAGCAGGGAGCCTCTTGACAGTTCCCCAGTTGAGGGAGGCTAAGAACCTCCTCTCCCCAAACATGGTCTTTCTGAGTGAGACCAAAAACAGGTTCAGATATATGAAAAAGGTCCAAGATATGTTGAGGTATGATGAAAGTGTAATCGTGGAAGCTATGGATAGGAAAGAAGGCATGGCCTTGTTTTGGAATCATGATATACAGGTTAGGAAGATGGTAACAACTGCTCTAACTATAGAGGCTCTAGTTATAGATCCGGACACCCAGGTTGAGTGGTGGTTTATTGGTGTTTACATGAGTTGTGATGCTAATATCAGGAAAGAACAATGGAAAGTTTTGACTTTGAGACAACAATTGTGGGGGGATAAATGGCTTCTAGCAGGGGACTTCAATGATATACTCTTTAATGAGGAGAAGTGGGGTGGCAGAGTAAGAGAAGAGAGAAGCTTCAAGGAATTTAATAGTTTTGTAGAAAACAACAGACTGGTAGATCTTGGTTTTACTAGTAACCCCTAGACATGGAGCAATAATTGGGAAGATGAGGGAGAGATAAGGCAAAGACTGGATAGAGGCTTGAGTACAATAGAATGGGGCCAAATTTTTGACAAGGCTAAATGTGAACATGTGGATACTCTTGGATCAGATCATAGCATGCTGCTCATAGACAATTGGCCAAGAATAGAGAAAAGAAAATCAAGATTTTTCTTTGATAAGAGATGGCTCAAAAGGTCAGAGGTCAATCAGATTGTTGAGCAAGCTTGGAACCAAACAGTAGAAAGAAATAGGATGTATAGGATTACAAGACAGGTTGCTAACTGTAGAGTGGCTCTCCTCAAATGGAAAAACAATTTCACAGGGAATTCTTTGATAAAAATCAACCAAATGAAGCAACAGATTAAGGAGGTTAAGGACTCAAAGGATGCAGGCTCCAAGGATAAGATTGCAGATTTGAAGAATCAGTTGAAAGTGGCATATTCAGAAGAGGAGCAGTATTGGGCTCAGAAAGCAAGAATTGACTGGTTGAGAGAAGGGAACAAGAATACCAAATTCTTCCATCCATGTGTGAAGGGGAGGAGAAGGAAAAATAGAATGCTCAACATTCAGAGGGAGGATGGAACTTGGACAAAAAATGAGGAGGAGCTGGGAAAGGAAGTAGCTGACTACTATAGAGTCCTTTTCTCTAGTTCTGGGAGTGAGGGTCTTGCTGAGATTCTAAGTGGTATACCTCTAACAATCACTACTGAGATGAATGACAAGCTAACTAAAGAGGTGAGTGATATAGAAATCAAATCTGCTCTCTTCTCCATGAATCCAAATAAGGCTCCAGGTCAAGATGGTATGACTCCCTTGTTCTTCCAAAATTTTGGCATGTTGTTAAACCAGATTTAATTGCTGCCATTAGACATTTTTTCCAAACTAGCAACATGCCTAAGTCTTGGAATCATACTGTCATCTCCCTTATACCCAAAATACAAAATCCCATTAACTTGAAGAGTTATAGGCCAATTAGTCTCTGTAATGTAGTGTACAAAGTGATTTCAAAAATATTGGCCAATAGACTCAAGAAAGTTTTAAGCCTTTGCATTAGTAAAAACCAAGCAGCCTTTATCCCAGGCAGGCAAATTCTCGATAATGTCATTTTGTCCCATGAATATTTGCATTACATGAAAAATAAGAAACAAGGACAAAATTGTTTTATGGCTGTGAAGCTGGACATGTCAAAGGCCTACGACAGAGTGGAGAGGAAATTCCTGGATTCCATGATGGACAAGATGGGCTACTGCACAGTCTAGAGGAAATGGATATGGAGCTGCCTCTCATCAGTTACATACTCCTTCAACATAAATGGTGTACCAAAGGAGTTTGTAATTCCAGAAAGGGGAATAAGACAAGGTGATCCACTGTCACCTTATCTTTTCCTTCTATGTTCAGAAGGGTTCTCCAATTTATTGAAGCAGGCTGAAGATGGAAAAAGGATTTTAGGGATGAAGATAAGCAGGAATGGTTCAAGCTTGACCCATTTATTTTTTGCTGACGACTCACTGGTCTTCTGTAAAGCTGACAGAGATGAAGCCAATGAACTCTGTCAAATTCTTAGGAAGTATGAGAAGGCATCAGGCCAAGTTATAAATTTGGAAAAGTCCTCAGTTTTTTTCAGTAGCAATGTAAGCCATCAGAATAAAGGGGAAATAAGACGAAGCCTAGGCACAATTCAGGTGGCTACTCAAGGGAAATATTTGGGTCTACCTATGGTGATTACAAGATCCAAACAGTAAGTTTTTGGTTACATAAAGGATAGTATTAGCAGAAGAATGAATAGCTGGAAGAACAAGTTGCTTAGCCAAGGGGGGAAGGAAGTATTATTGAAGTCAGTCTCCATGGCGATGCCAGTTTACACAATGTCCTGCTTTAAACTCCCTAACAAACTGTGTAAAGAAGTGACATCCATATTTGCTAATTACTGGTGGGGAGAATCTGAAGGAAGAAATAAGATGCATTGGTGTTCATGGGGGAGATTGGCTAGAGATAAAAAAGAGGGAGGCTTGGGCTTCCGGAGTTGCAGAATTTCAACAAAGCCTTGCTGGCTAAACAGGTCTGGAAGGTAATTTCCAAACCAAACCTCTTAGTCAGTAAGGTCTTGAGGGCCAAGTATTTTCATAAGGAATCAATCTTTAAGTGTAAAACCCCAAGTGTGCTTCTTGGATCTGGCAAAGCCTGATGAATGTGAGGGAGTTTGTGCGAAAAGGAACCAGAAGGAAGATAGGTAATGGCAAAGCAACAAATATCTGGGAGGATAATTGGATCCCTAGAAATAAGGATGGGAAAGTCACCACTGCGATGCCTCAGAGTTGCAATATCAGAAGGGTAGAAGAGCTGATCAGTGGCTTTAGATGGAGGAAACCATTAGTGAGTCGGATATTCAACAGGAAGGATGCGAAAGAAATCCTTGATATTCCTATCAGTATTGTAGGAAGGGAGGACAGCAATTATTGGTTACATAGTGGCAGTGGTACCTACACGGTCAATTCAGGATATAAAGCTCTATGTCAGGAAACATCTCAACACAAGGAAGAGAGATAATGAGGCAGGAACAAGCTCAGCAAACTCCAATGAAAAGCAATGGAAGTGGCTGTGGAAGCTAAAGGTCAAAAGCAAGATAAAGCATTTCATTTGGAGGTGTCTAAATGGCCTTTACCAGTTAATGACCTGGTGTTTAAAAGAATACACCAGGGGGATCCAATTTGTGATGGCTGTGGTGAACAGGAAGAGTCAATTGAACATTTGTTCTTTCAATGTAGCAGAGCCCAAGAAGTGTGGAAGATTACCCCAATTCAATGGGATGGATTAACGGAACAGACAAGGAACATATTACTATGGTGGAATACTATGCTGGAAGCAACAAACAGGATAGAAGGAAGGGAACATATAGAGCTAACTGTGAATATCCTGTGGCAAATCTGGAAAAGAAGGAATGAATGGAAGTTCAATGCCAAAAGAAGGCATCCTTGGGAAACAATTAAAAAGGCCCTACAGGAATGGCAAGAGCAAGCATCAGCTTGGAGGGAGGAGAAATCGACACCTGTGGAAGCTGAAAGAGATAGAGAGACTGCAGAAACAGATGAGGGTGGAAGGGATGAAATGCAGATCAGATTATCAACTCATGTGCAAGAACAAACCAATAGAGTTGGGACTGGGATTATAGCTACTAATTTCAACCATCAGTTGCTGTCTACTTGGGCACTGACTGATAGGTACGCAGGAAGCCATTTGTAGACAAGTGCGGAAGCTGTGAAGATGGCGCATTATAAAGCTAGACAGCTGCAATGGCAGAAAATTACAGTCCATCTCCTCAGCCCTCAGCTGTTCAAAATGATTACAAATGGGTTGGCCAAGGATATCAAAATGGCAACTTTGACTGATGATATTAATAGCCTCAGAGCTTTATTCCAGAAATACTCCTTTTGTTTAGATAGAAATCTAGATTCTAGATGTGAATGGATTAGTGATTATGCTTTAGGCATATCTCAAGATGAGGAATAGATCAATCATCAGTGTGTCTAACACATTTGTATAGAACTAGTTGAGCCTTTGCTCATATAAGTGTATGTTTTGCCAATCAATACATAATCTACCGTTGCAGAAAAAAAAAACCTAAAGAAAGTACAATCTCCTTTCTAGACGTTGGTAGCCACCAAAAAGATGAAGGAATTCCTTTTTCCTTTTCGGCCAGGCCCACCAGAGAAAGAACCATATATCTAGTCCTAGTTTTTCTCATCTCAAATTGGTATCCGAATACCAAACTTCCTAAATAATAGAAATCCTATTACAAATTACTTTCTTCAGCTCTGGAGTGGCCCCACTGATCTTCAAATTTGTAGCCAGCCACTTCACTCCCTTTTTTAAGCTCCCCACGTGCGAAGAATCACAAGAATCCGGCTTTAAAGGTTGGAGTTAGGCGTGGGCACGCCTAACTATCAGGAAGTCTCTTGAAATGTTGATTTTTAGCACTTTTTTCTTCACACATTTCCTGCAAGCAACACCAACACAAAACCTGAGTAGAATCCACCCAACTAGTGCAATATTTAGTCAAACAATTATACAATAATATCAAAATATCCCACTAAAATGCATCCTATCATTGTTCGAGTCCGCAAGCATCCATAGGTAACTCTAGCTTCTTTTCTTGGTTGATTTAACGCTTTGCATGAAGTTTTTAAGCCCTCACATGAGTTTTCATGGGTTTAAGCCTTAAATCTCATTTTTGCATGATTTGTGATGTTTGGGAATCTGGTTTAATGATTTGAACGAGTTCATAAAGCTGCAAGGATCATGCTTGACGAAAACTAGACCCTACGTGCTCTTGGATGTTTTTTTTCGGCAAGAAATTTTCCAGTTTCCAATGGATCTGTTCTTGGTTCCAGCGGGAGCTGGTTCATAGTTCTTCGTTTGCTTTGTTGCATGTCTTTCTTTTTGTTTGATCTTTTAGGCGTTGGAGTTCGTTATTGGGTCTTGTTAAAAAAAAATGGGCTAATGTTTTATTTGGGTTTTGATTTTTCTTTCTATGTGTGGCTGTGATATTTATCTACTAGGCTACTCACTATTTTGTTTGGGCTAGGACACTAAAGCCCAAATCTAGCCTAGTTAATAAGGCATGGGCTGTGTAATCTAAATCGAGACTTTTGTTTCCTTTCTTTCATTTGATTATTATCTCTTTGGTAATTTTAGTCGTTTAATGCACTTTTGATGTGTTCTGAAATTTCGATTAAGTGAATAGTTTGTTATTTGCTGATTTGCATCCATGAGAAAATATATTTACAAATTGGCCTCCCAATTTTTACATAATTACACTAGGACCCAAAATTATGAAACATAGATCTATTTCTTCCCCTTTAAAGTCTTGATTTCTCTTCTTATGTTTTATGCATATTTTGAGTAAATTAATTTTGGTCTTTAGAATATAATTGGAGCTTTGAATAAAATTTGTTGGTTTTTAATTAGACAATTTTAGAAATTTATGCAAATGATTTAGATAAGAAATAGGCTCATGTGTTGTTTTTTGTTAGGTTTGTGACATGGGTTTTGAAGTTCGAACCCAATGTCTTAATTAGGTTTAAGGTTGTAAAAATGAATTGGCTTGGGTTGTCTTTTAAATAAGATGGATTTGCTTATTTTTCTTCAATCGAAATGGCATAGCCCAACATTTTTTTTAATGTAATAAAAAATTTTACAATTTGGCCTTGATCTTTTGAGTAAATTTACTGTAGCCCTAAAATTTTAAATTTCTTTGAATTTAGGTCCTTAATTTAATTGTATTTTGACCCCTATTCTTTATGAGAATTGTAATTTGACCTAAAAACTTTTCTAATTTTGTAATTTAGTCCTTATTATTATTTTTTTTCGAATTACAATTGTTTCTCTTCTTTAATTGCAAACTGTGTTTCATTTAAATGCATTTAATTTGTAAATTTTGTTGCTTTATGTTTATTTACATTTTTCACAATAAAAGGGGAGTCTAGTATATGTTTACATTCTCTTTAAAATTATCAATTAAATTGGTGCATTGACTCATGTATTGATTTTGAAAAAGTAGATAACTCTCCCTTCCCCTCATTTAGCCGCTACTTTAAAAGGAAGGTATACCTATTATTAGTTAAATTATTTTATATGCTCTTATGTGTTTATATGTTTATGTGTTTTATCTTTCATTTATTTATTTTAAATTTTTATTCATTTTATTCTTGTTTAATTTAAGTCTTGTGATTATTTGGAGAGTATTTAAATGCCTAAATTATAATAGATAGGTAATATTCTCTTGTTCAAGAAATATAATTAGATAGCCAATGTAATAGATAGGTTTTATTTTTTTGCAAGAAATATAATTAGTTAGATAAATGTAATAGATATGTAGATAGGTTTTTTGTGCTCTACATGCTCTATGTGCTTTTATGTGTTTATTTGTTTTAATTATACACTGTATATTTTATTTATTTATAATGAGTGTATGACATCACCACACTAGTTCAATATTAGATGTGGTTTTTCAGCCCGATTTCTTATAAGTCCAATGCTAGTGAGAGGTTGTAAAATAGACTAATCTAATACTAGACCCTTTAGACTATCTTCACGGTAGATTCATACTTTGTATGACATTTATTGTATTTCACGCATTTTTTTCCTTTTTAGGTTATTTCCATGGTATGTCATCTTATTCTATTATCCCTATGTGCACAAATCATATTATTTAGACTTGCATTTTATTTAGATAGTTAAAAAAAAATGGCTAGTCTATTTGCTTGTTTAAGTTACAAGAGTCACCCTTCGAATGTGAAAAATGGGTGAGTATAGCTTTTTAACTTTAGCACGCTTTCCCCCCTCCCAAAAATAAAAGGAAAATTGTGTTATGATTTTTAGTTTTTCGTACCCGTTATGTTGTATTCTCCTCTTTTAGTTCATATATTTTTTTCTATATGTCATAATTTTCTTTTTCAGAGTCTCATCTTTTGTATATTCCTGACCTCTTTAGGGGATCATTCTTGGACTTTACAATTAATGTTTACATCAATTAAATTTTGAAGAGATATTTCACCCCTCTCGATACCCCCTAGGTCTAGGTTTGCATTCATATAAAAGCATCTAAATGTGATAAGTTTTATAGCTTAGATTAGAAATTTTTTTTACTAATCTTGCAACTAGCCTCGGCTAGATTAAAAGGGCGCCTTAGATTTGAATCGATCAATCTTTACCTTCCATTTTTTCAACCGTGATTCCCGAATTTTTTTTCTTATTTTCAAAGATCTAGAGTTGTCTAAAAAGGGTTTTATTTTTTCATTTAAAATAAATTTGGGTAACTTGTATACGTAAATTTCATACCAAGTGATGGCTTTCTTTTTTTAAAATCCTTTTTAGACTATTATTTTGGATCCAAACTGTCGCATATTCTCTAAGTCCTATTTTAGGCCCTTTTCTCTTTATTTTCTAAAATAAAATCAAATACTCATTTTTAACACATTTCTCTTTTATTTCAAAAAATGGCGCGACAATGGTGAAGTGATCTATGTAGCTACACAAGTGTCCGGTCTCTAATGGTGAGCCACACGAACCTTCTTAACTAGTACCTTCTTATGTCGAATTAGTTTAAACTAGATTAGTGCTACCTATTGCTAAGAAACCTCTACAAATTGATTGCAAAGAAACCCTAATTTTTCAACATGAAAAACTTGCTCCAATAAGAAAAATAAAAGATGTGAATTTTTGCTTAGTTTCTTGGTGAATTTTGGGTAATTTTTCTCTCAAGATTTTTCTCAAAATCTCACGATATAATTTGTGTATTGATTAGTCTTGTTAGCAAAATCTTAGTTAGCATTTATAGATAAATAAGTTATCCATATCTTTATGAAAACCTGAATCTAGTTTCCAATAGGATTTACCTTCCTTATTCCAACACAGCACTTGTATTTGGATGATTTAAACTTATTTGCACTATAAGTCCCTCAAGTTTAATTTGTCTCACAAATTAAATTATAAGTTATAAAAACTTATCTATCAAGTCTCTACTTGAAATTCATTTGATTCACCTACAG